GCTGTTCGCGGTGGTCACCATGGCGCTGTATATGGCCTTGATAGCTTACTGGAATAAGCATTAAACGGTGAGCTGCTGAGAGGGTCTGGCTGGGCGGGTCCAAAAGGCGGGGTGGAGAGATTAGATTCGAGAGATTCGGCGGTTCGAGTTTGAGGCCTGCACACCTACCAGGCGCCTACTGCTACCTGGGCGCCTGCAGCCGCTCTGCCCATCGTGTCCTGACCTGCCGAAATTGCCCTTCCCACCTCCCTCGCGGCCCTGTAGGCGAGCCATTGCGCTGCACATGGCCCATGAAGTTGCCCCTGGTATTCTGCCCATGCAACCAAACACTGAGACAAAACGTTGCACGCCTGGGCCCATGTAAACCATGACACTTCCGTGTGGATTGGCGACCCGCGTGTCTCAGCAACAGAGCGCCCCACAGCAACAATACAGGTGGCTGTCTTGAATATCCAGCAATGAGTTGGCAATCTGTCGAAACTGTGAACCGACCCCCAAACAAGCTGCTCTGCCCTTAAGAGACACACCATCTCTGCTGACCTGTACATCAATATACACCAATTGGGTCAGCACAAACCATGTATCACACGAGTGAGGCTCAGCTTGTCACGCGACTTACTGGAATCCAAAATCGTAGTCACCACATTGCTCGCACGTGTAACACTTCCCTCCACCCTCTTGCCTATGGCCTTAGATGGTAAGGCCCGGTACGCTCCCTCTCAGTGCCGTGGCGGCACGAAACGGGGAGAGCTGTAAATCTTCTGCATGGGAGGGGGTGTATGTAAGGACACACGGTCTCTCAAAACACCGTTCGCAATGTTTCCAACTGTTTTCGGCACTGCACAGGGACATCGCCGCCCCGCGTTTTTGACACAAACTCGCGATATACTCTCTGCAACCAATAGTCCAGATTTCTCACCTCGGAACAAGTCCCATGACGCAACAATTCAATCTGGCGCACAGCATCCACCCGTTCGTCGTCCCCATCCAGCGCCTCGTGGAGTCACCTCGTGAGAGCCGCCATTTCAGCCTATAGACGCAGTAGAGAATTACATGAACCCCTAGTGAAGGCGGATGGTTGCAAGTGCACCAAGGTGCATTTGCATGGTGGGAACACGTAAACAAGAAATGACGCACCGCGTCGTTAGGACTGCGTATCCGCTGGCCCCGGGCATCTCCATCGTCCACAATCTCCTCCAGTGTGACATCGATCGCGGCCATTTGCTCACCGCTCCAATATGACAGCAACCTAGCTTCTAGATAAACATCGCTACACGATGAAATTGGGTAGTTATGTAATACTACTGAAAGGTTCGCGACTGTGACATGCTCCTGACTCAAGCCTACATGGCTGCCCAACCAGAGGTCGGCAAACCCTGAATAACTGTCACGGGTACTGGTGCCAGGGTCGAATAACTGTATGGAAATTTTTTTGGTAAAAGCCGAGGAAAGAGTGCCTGCGGGCCGATGTACCAAACTTACTACGGTACACCATCGCTGCTAAAGCCACAGTTGTCTTGTTGCGCCCTAAAATGGAAGGTTTGGTAACCTAATGATGAAGTTTATAGCTTCAAAACTGCGCAAACCTGCCTTTTGGGGGGAATTTCTGCACCCTGCCGTACGGCTGCAGTACCCGTGATGAAGAATTTCTGCAACGGGTACAACGGAAGGACCCGTGGTACCCGTGGCGTTTGCCGACCTCTGTGCCCAACTCTTGTTGTACGGAAGCGTGATGCATCGCATTAAAGCATAACAGTGCACATCACCGGAAGTGCTCTTGACATAGTTATACAACACTGTGTCGTTGTTGCGCCATCTCTGAGGCGTGTTCCCTTTTCAAAGCTGAAGTCATTTACACAACAGGGAAGCATTTCTGAACATCCTTGTGATCCAATATACTAAGTATGCCATTTTATATTATCAGCGTAGGTTCTTGCGTCGAACGGTTGTAAGTGAACCATGGTGCATTCACACACACACACACACACACACACACACACACACACACACACACACACACACACACACACACACACACACACACACACACACACACACACACACACACACACACACACACACACACACACACACACACACACACAATGAATGTATGAATGAAATGAGAACCGAGGACGGTAACCAGGCGTGTAGGGTTCCTGCCACTTCCTGGCCCATGTACAGAATCAAAACCAACACAGTAGTTACAGAGTTTCATAAAGTTTCATAAGTTCCTTCAACTACCCGCGATTCTGGATGCCTGCCTGAGAGTTTCCGGGCCGACCCCGCAATTGGTCGAACTTGCTCGATAGAAGGGTTGAAATTGGCACGGGGTCTACACCTGGGACAAGTTAAATTGCCGGGACAGGCCCTTGAATTGGCCTGGCAGGGACATTCGGACAGTCAGAATTAGCCTAACAGGGACACGAATTGGCCTGGCAGGGACATTCGGACAGTCAGAATTAGCCTAACAGGGACACGAATTGGCCTGGCAGGGACATTCGGACAGTCAGAATTAGCCTAACAGGGACACGAATTGGCCTGACAGGGACATTCCAACAGTCAGAATTAGCTTGACAGGGACACGAATTGGCCTGGCAGGGACATTCGGACAGTCAGAATTAGCGTGTTCAGGGTGTCGAATTAGGGAAGCACGGGAATTGTGCGACCGGGGCAGTCAAAAGAATTGCTCTCCCCGACCGTGTGTCCTACCCTCTAGACGGAGCTGAATTGAGGCTTGCACGCCTTTATATCGCTGGTGCGCAGAAATGTCTCCACAATAACCACCTCATATATATTTATAATATAGATTAGTATCCAATCTCAATCTCGTGGTTGTAAGGCGACCTGCGCTATGCTTGAGCAATTCTCGGCCAGCCACAAGACCGGAAATACGTCCAGACACCGCGGGGTCTTTAACCCCAGGATAATCACCATTGCTGACAAACCCAATATTTGAACAGCATTATCTGTTCGCTGGCCTCAACTTGACCCGCCGACCCCCGCCTTTTTTGCTTTCATGGCCACATCCACCTCCGCCAGTTCTGCTGCTGGTACGCCTACCAGTACCATCATGCCGGCTGCAGCCCGCCGACCCTCCCACAGCAATAGCGGCGTCTTGCGAGCCGCTTCGCGGCAGCCGCTTGCCGTCCGCGCCTCCACAAATGCCGTGCCGCACTCCGTACCCAGCCCCGTCCTCGTCCCCCCTAGCCTACAAGGCCGTGCTCTTCCTCCTTCCACTCCGCCGCTGTCGGCCTCTTCCGGAGGCTCCGTACGGCACGTGCTACCTGGCTACCGCGCCAGCAGCGGTCCCCGACACGCCCATCGGCGCCCGCTGCCGTACCGCCGTCCGCCGCCACCACGCTACTCATGACGCATCCCACCGCTGCCGGTTTCAGCAGCACGGGCAGCTACGCGAGCAGCGTGGACGAGCAGTACGAGCAGCCGTACGACATGTTTCCACTTCCCCCTCTCTCCCCCCCGCTTACCCCCTCCAGGCCTCCCAAGCCCAGTCCAAGGCCAAGATGTTGGAAAAGCTCCAGGCAGCTCAAACCGAAATCCCGGCAGCTGCGGCAGCCACCGGGGCAGCAGGGGATGCGCGCAAGGTATTGCTGCGGACAGATATAAATACATATATAAATATAAAAGGGTTTGGCACCACTGGTAAGGCGCGACCATTGCCCCCGGAAGATCCCGGGATCGATACCCGTTAGGGTTAAAAGTCCTTCCGATAGTTGAAGGTATTGCGCCCCTAGTTGATAGACGGTGGTGACCTGGGATAAAGTTAACCTGCGAGCCGACCAGGAATTGAGTCGGGCCGCTGTCGACCGGGCAGATTCCGGGCAGATGGGGGGCCACCTCCCATTTCATCACGCCTCAAACACCCGAGGAGCCGGCAGGCGGATTCTTAGAGTGGGCAATGGCACTGCGAAGCTTACGGACAACCTGGGGCTCTCAGCCAAGGACTTTGAGCACGGACCCGCCACTGCGGCGTCAGCGGGGGCGGCCGCCACAAAGACTGGCGGCGGCGGCGGCGCGGCCGCCTCGCCCTCTGGGTCCACATCAGGAAGGAAAGGCAAGGGTGCGTCAGCGGCACCGTCAGCGACGGCTCCGCCGCCCCCTCCGCCGGCGGCAGCGGCAGCGGCAGCGGCAGCGGCAGCGGCAGCGGCAGCGGCAGCGGGGGCCCCCAAGCCCAAAGCCAAGCGTACGACACTAGCGTACAAGGAGCAGCTGGAATACCAAGTAGGAAGTGGGGAGGGTGGGAAGGAGAGGAGGGGCCAGAGGGTGAGTTAGGGGTATCATTAGTGTGTATGCCGTAATTGCCGTACCTTCTTTACGAGCAAACCCGATGAGAAGAGTTTTAGTGCGCACACCTTTCCCCGTCATGCAGTCAACAAGGTCCTTAGATGCTTTAGATGACACCTATCCGTTCTTTTTCTTCCCTGCGACTGTGAACGGACTTCAGGGGGCTCCAATCCTGATAATCGTTCTCAACTCCGTTTCCTTTCTTCGCGTGACTAGGGTGAGGCTGGATGAGGGTGCCCCGAAATACCGGGGAAGGCAGGGTTTCGCTGGGTAGCGGCCACAGGGTGAAGATATGCCCCCCTGTCCCACACATCATACATACATACATACATGACTTGAACTGAAGGTTGATGAACTGCGCAAACCCGGCACCCCGTAGAAGTAGGAAGGGAGTTGGAGGCGCTCGGGGAGAGGAGGGAGCAGATCGACCAGCAGCTAGCGGCGGCGACGGCGGCGGCTGGTGGTGCTGGTGGCAGCAGCAGCAGCAGCAGCAGCAGCAGCAGCAGCAGCTTCAGTGAGATCGAACGACTGAGCAAAGAGCTCGCCAAGGTAACATGGAAAGCCGAGTATCCAGGGGGGGGGAGAAGCCACTGACCGGCACATCGTGATGCCCGGGATGAGGGAGATGAGGGCACCTCCGGGAAGAGAGAAGTGTCCAGCACATTACTGCGATCACTGTGATGGGCAGTCATGGGGGTTTTGGAAGAGGATGAGGCCAAGATAAATTATTAGTATGGTTTTCAAACCTATTCATAACATCCTTCTTGTCTTGTTCCTTTTTGTCGTTCTCGTTGTGATCCCCTGAGCAACCACCCCAAGACGTGGCCCTCTGAGCAGTGCGGGTGTGTGCGGGTGTGTGCGGTTTTATTTTATCTGTGAGCCCGAGGTACACCCCGAGTACACGAATGGCCGTATCGATGCGTATGTGTGCGTGTATGTATGTATGTATGTATGTATGTGTACCAGTACAGAATACACCTCTTCCTCCTACACCTCGTCCAACCAGAGCCGGCAGTGGTTACCCCCCAGTTTTGTCGTGCATGTGTCACGACGACGACGATGACGAGAGATCCAGATTCCTGTTTTTATTAAATGCATGTAATGCCGTACGTGATGACTGGCGTACGGCACGTGGGTGGGTAACGATTGCAGGTTTCCGAAGAGCTGGAGGAGGAGGAGTTGCGGTGGTTGGAGCTGGCGGAGATCGCGGGCGACATTTGATTGGTGCAGAAGCTACGACTTGGATATCAGGATCTCACTGCATGATGGCATTTGATTTCGTTTCAGATAGGTGTGTGTATGTGTGTGTATGTGTGTGTATGTGTGTGAATACGTGTTTGCATGTGGAGGGAAGTGACACGGGAGGTGGAGAGAGATAAATTATGAGACGGTACGGGACTCCGTGATGCGAGTCGAGTAGATGTACAGCTCTGCTGCTGGACGACTGCTGGTCGTGATTGTGCTGTGTGAGAATGTGTCACCCGGTCATTGGCTCGGAAAAAGCTAATGATTGTTTTCTGATGTGGTGTGTTGGTGCCCGCTCGCGTGTGGGTTTTGCGACGGTATCGCCAGCCGGGTTACGTGGCCTTCTGGGGAGAGCGACCTGCAGTACATTGTACGGGGCGATCTGCATTGTACGGCATTGGGGTGGTAGTGGTTAGGTAGTGATTAAGGCCGGCAGTTGGGAGTTAGTGTTGTGTGTGAGGATGCGCTGCCGTGATAGTGATGGTGATGGTGGTGATAATGGAAGGTTGTGATGGTGTCGCTACCGAGCTGTGTGAGTATGCGGGGAGGGGGTCCGGTGGGCAGGTATAGCGCCTTCGGTGTGTTTGTGTGTCTTTGTGTGTGTTTGTGTGTATGTAATAATATCTCTTACATATCGATCCGGGCCTGACGCTGGCCAGGAGCACCTAACCGTACCCCAACGGGAACGACCGCCGAAGCACTCCATCATTGGAGGGGCGCTATGTCGGTCAGAATCCTAACCTTGTGTCACGCAAGGTTGTGTGTGTATTTTACCTGAGGTGTGAATTCCGGTGTTTGCGTGTGCCTCTGAGAGAGAGAGTGGAATCCTGATGTGGGTCAGCTGTGCCAGGTACTTTGCTTTGGTCTGTTTTGGAGACGGTGGTTAGCTGATTGGTCCTAAGCTGGTTGGGTGCAGAAGCAGGGCCGTTGTTCACGTGAAGGAAAAACGTTAGGTTGCTAGAGATTCAGATAAAATGTGCGTGATGCTAGCTGAACTATGTCCCTCGGCTTTTACACAGTTGGCCATGTGCCGTTAGGCGACTTGATGTGCCGTGTCGTTGTAACTGCCGTGGCGATATTTGTAACTATCCCGACATCGTTTTGCATACGCATAGGCAGCTGCCATCACGCATCTTGTTATGCGGCATAGATAGGTGCTTACGAAGTGCTCAAAACCATGTTTTCGCTTTGACACGCAAGTTCGACTTTCTAAGCACTACAACTGCTGTTCTGCTGGCTCGCTAGGCTTCGCGCGCCAGCAAGCTTCACAATTCAGATAGAACACCCAAAAGTTGACTAAGCAAGCTTTTTATCCTTGACAAATTTCGTTGATCTGCGGCAATCGCCCACTGGTGTCGGGTTTTGGGTACGCAGGTATCTTTCACCGTTGAAGGCCGTCCTCCGCGCTTCACGAGAAAAAAGCTTGGGCGTAAGATATATTGCAGTTTCAGTTTGGGCTTCATGCCAATCCAGGTCAGCGTATTTCCTTGTGCTCCGCAGGAGCTGAACCCCCTGCCCTTTGGCGTGACCATTGCCAACTGCATCGCATGGCTCGGGTATGGCCTCCTCAAGCATGACCCGTTCGTCACGGTGCCCAACGCGGCAGGTGTCCGCATCGCCGTGTTCATGACGTTGACAGCATTTGGTCTGGCTGACGATACAGTGAGTTCCTCTCGCCTTGCCGGGCCCCTTGATAACCTGGCTACCCCATAACTCCATGACTCTCCTTTCCCCTAGCTCCTCACCCCGCTCCAACCCGCAAATCCGTTGACAAAAAAAGAACTCCCACAGCAGCTGCCTGCCAGTGCCACGCCATTGCCCCCAGGACCCCATTCCTCAGCTGAACTCAACGCCAGAGGAGCCAAGGCCGGCGCGGCGCACATCAGGACAAGCAAAGTTGCAAGCCCATGTTATGCGGCTCGCTTCTAAGCCCCTTACTAAGGACTTAAGAGAGAGAGAGAAGATGAGGAGGAAAGAGGTGAAGGGAGTGGGTTGAGTGGATGACGGCGGCGGTTGCAGTGCTAACCGCTCCCTCCCTCTCCCCCTCTCCTCCCTTCCCATCTCTCCCTCCCCTTCCCCATCCGCTAACTCAGGATCCTGGCCGGCAACGTCATTTGCCTGATCTACTGGGGTCTTCTGCATATACGAGCGAGAATACACCGCTAAGTCCAACACCAGCACGGCCCATAGCACTACGATGGTCTCCACAAAGTAACTTTTGTCTCTCCACCCCTGTGCATTGTTTCTTACCAGTCCAGTGGAGCAGTGGTGTGATAGCGTGTACCGGAGTCTTTGCAGAAAAAAACCACACATCACCATCCTACAACGCCCTGCCGTGAAGCAACGGCGTGTGCTCTCATATCAGCTTGCTGGCTTCCCAAATGCGAATAGAAAGCGCCTGCTGTGCATGCAGGCCGTGATGAAGCAGCTCTACGGGCGTGATAATGTGCGGCCCTCACGAGGCGGGCCGCTTTACATAAGCCGGTCTTTGCACCAGAATTAGTGACAGCGGAAAGCCACCCTGCTGCTGTGCAGACCAAATCTCACACTCCCATGCTTCAGCTCAGGCCGGCAGCAAGCCCCACACACTACCAAGCACCACCACATTGCTCTCAGAGCTTCATGACCTCATCCGTCTTCGCCTTGGCCATGTCGTCCAACTTCTTGACGTACAAGTCGGTTAGCTTCTGGATGTCGTCCTCCAGCGCCTTCTTGTCATCCTTCGGGAGCTCGACCTGCGAGCGATGGAGCAAGATGTGGCATGCCGCTGTGCTGTACACACGTGTAAACAGGTATGTGGGAAGTTTCCTCTTCTAAACTGGGCAGCGGGGAGAGGGCAGTGATAAGAAGCAGGGTGGAGGTGTGGGCCAAGCAATATCGGCAGCAACAAACCGACAAGGCCCCTGCCTGGACAGAAAGGTGAAGAAACCTGCAGGTGATGTCGAAACGTCACCACGTCCTCGAAACTTATCAATGTGATACAGCTCATGAGTATCACTAAGGTCCATACCAACAATGAAAAAGTGGACTCTAATTGAACTTAATTTATCTAGCAACTTACCGGAGCTGGCAAAAACGTTCGAAACATCAAAACGCTATGAAAGAAGATACACGAGTACGCCGCGCATGCTTGTGCGAACATCCTCCGAAAGGGAAGTTCAACTGGACAAGACAGCGATAAGGCAAAAGCCAAGAGAATGAACCATGCCAATGGTAACCACCAAAAGCCCAACGGACAAACGATTACTCCGGAGCCCCCGAGGTCACTGGTGCTGCAGCTTCATCTATACTACTACTATTGCAACTTCTACTGCTACAAGGTTTATGCTACCCATGTGGCTTCCACAGCCCTGGCCCCCAACTGTCCCAGTAGTACCAACCATACCTTGTCGACCTTCTTCATGGCATCCTTTCGCACATTGCGCACCGCTACTTTGCCATCCTCGGTCATCTTGGAGACCTGCTTAGCCAGGTCCTTGCGCCGCTCCTAAGGGAGGTGTGCAAGCAATGCGAGCAGGGCATGTGGATAAAGAATGTCCCGACAAAGAATGTCCCGACAAAGAATGTCGGGAGGGATGAGCGGATGCTAGCGAGCAAGGAAGGACACAAGCCGAGGGGCTTCCTTGTGGGGTAAAGGTGCGCGCGAGGAGGGAACTAGGCGCGGCAGCTGGCTGCTGAAAGAGGAGGCCTCTCAAGGTGCCCACATCAAAGCGCTATCACGCGTAATTACGGACAGCGTGTGCCGTACTGTACGACATCTGCTGCAACAAGGGGCAAGGATGGCGGGAAGAGAGAAGCAAAGGTAGGTGAGAGGGTGGCCAAAAAGAGAGTGTGATGTGTGGTGGTGGTGGGGGGGGGAAGGACGAACCACACACGATTGAAGCTGCTGCCAGGGCAAGAGTGTGATGTGTGTGTGGGGGGGAAGATCATATGCGAGGAGATCAGAAATCAGAAATGAACTGCCAGAATGCGTCCGGTGCTGGGAGGCGGGGAATGGAAATGGAAACCCTGAGTTCTAGTCTAGCAAGAGGCGGTGAACAATGGCGTGGCGCCAGCTGTGTGAAAGCGAGAGGACGGCAGGAGGAGGGAGTGGGATCTCGGGGGAAATTGAGCATTGGCATCATCGGGAAGAAGAGAGAAGCAGGAAAGAGACACGCTTTGTTATGAGAAGACCAAGTCCGTAGACGCTCACCTTCCCCTTGGACCATTGACCCCTCCTCCTCCTCCCTCCTTTTCCCCTCCTCCCCCTTCCTCCCCGCCTTTCCTCTCAGCCGAAGCCAAAGCTGGTACTGCTGGCAGGTTACCTTTTCCCTGGAAGCTTTCAACTCCTGGCCCAGCGTCGCTATTCCTCAGGCCGGTCCTCTCCCGGCCGGCCCTCTCCGCGAGCTACCAACTGCTCACCACAGCGTGACATCCAGATAAGTTTGTAGGGGCTGTGCACTGTTGTGCGCATTGATGTGCAAAGCAGCGCACAAATAGCGCCTCATAGCGCCCTGGCTCCAGCCGCAGAGCCCTGCGCAGGTGCCGCTTGTTGCTGCTGGTCCTGCCCTCCTTCCTCTCTCCTCCGGGTTTCATCCGCCCATCCCTCATGCGACATGGTCCATCTAATTCGCATCATGGTTTGGTCACACATCGTTCCTCACCTGTGTCATGGGCGGCATAACCAGCCGAATTCGCTCGCCGTCGTTGTTGGGGTTGATGCCGATGTCGGACTCTTGGATGGCGCGCTCGATGTCTTTGAGGGTACTGCGGTCGAAGGGCGCGATCATGAGCGTCTGCGAGTCTGGCACCGTCACAGCGCCCATCTGCTTCAGCGGCGTGGGTGCGCCAAAGTAATCCACCTGCACAGCCGAAACGAGCGCGATGGAAGGAGGGTGTGAGGGCAACAACGACTGGGGCTCAGAAGGAAAAGCCGTGTCAGACTCAAAACTCGATGACATGAGCACCACATGACCTCTGGCGGGTCCCCGGTCAGATTCTGGAAGTGCAGATCGAGCTGTGAGTGGTGCCCTCCATGGAACATCGTTATGTGCAGCCAGGCGCCGTGGAGACAAGATTTAGAAAGTTGAAGTATTCCTTATTCACGAGGCCTGAACGTTTTGGGCACTGGTCATAAAACAACATGCCCTCCCCAGGTTCAACCTGGAAAGCACGTTACGAAACGCCAAACGAGGAGGGCCGCGAGGAGGAGGAGGAGGAGGGCCGCCTAAGCCCTAGTGACGACGGATTTAATTGATTGTGTCTGTGCGTGTGTGTATGTCTGTGTATGACAGCAGTTTAAACGAGGTTCCTGTGGGCATGAGAGCTCTGGGAGGTGCGGTCTGGGAACCGCCTTCCCCCCTACACCACCACCACACCACCACCACAGCTAATCAGGACTCGCAATTGACGGGTGATTAAAGGTATGGAGAAGTATGCTACGGACTTGAGAGAGAGATGCCGGTGGAGAGAGGCGGGGTTGTAGGAGGACAACCTGACAAGTCAGGCGCACGGCGCGGGGCGCAGCCCGGCATGACCTTTGTGTGCTATTGCCGCTGCATGTCCCCCCCGCCGTGCACCTCGGCGGCTGTTGTCGCGAAAAGAACCCTGATGCCCCTGTGGCAGTCCGGCCACAGGGACCGGCACCGAAATCATCGCCAAGCAGCACCGGGAGGTGGTCATCCGCCTCCACCTCCACCTCCACCGCTTTGCTTCACATGCACTGCCATCGCCTCTCGCCACCTCCACCGTGAATGCTCGTCACCACGCGCTTCCATCAGGTCATCGCGAAGGACCCACTGGGGCCGGGGGGCCGCCCCAGCCACTACCACCGTCACACTCCTACTGCTGCCGCCGCCACATCCGGCACCTGGAGCCTTCTATTCAGCCTTTTCAGCCGACTGAAGGACCATGTGATACAGCTATTCGTCGCCAAGGCACGGCGCTCCTCCACAGCCAAAACTCAATACCAAAACCGTGTTACACAACAATGAACTGCCGAACCCATCTCAATCCGCCCCCAACCCCCCGTGGTCCTCCCTTCCGCACAGCAATAGAGAGCCTCACAGCACTTTATGTCATCGGCTGCGGATGGAGGGCCGCTGTTCCCCGCCACGGGGGCATGATAGCATTCATCCGGTAAAAGGCAGGCCTGGATCCATCCGCCACTCGTCCAGCAATCCAGCAGCCCACTTGCAAGTGGCGACTAGTAATGGGGCAGCCGAACGCGCAGGGGCACCCCCAGGCCGGTAAAACACTCGTTATGGGACCTCATCCAGCCAGCCAGCCAGCAGGAAGCCGGCAGCCGAGGAAGGGAGTGGTGGTTCCTCCCCCAGCCCAGCTCAGCCCAGCCCAGCGCCACCTAAGCATCTGCCCATGTCACCTTCCCTCCTGTTTCTTTTCCCCCTTTTCCTTTCCGCTTATCTTTCATCACCTCACTGACTCTGTTCACGTTTTCAGCCTTTCAAAGGGGGGGACGCTCAAGATTTTTCAAGATGTGCAGCGTCCCCCCCTTTGTCATTTCTTCTGCACAGCCTGCGTTATCACCTGGTCCAACACACTAGGTTCATGCCGATCATGAGATGGAGGGAGCGGGAGGACAGGACGGGGGCAGCAGGTGTTCCATGCCACCAGGTGACAGGGAGCTGCGGGCCGGTGGGACCTTCAAGAACCAACTTTACCTTAGGCCATGATCCTATCCTAGCTGGCAAGGATTACGGTGTAAGCATGTCTACATGAGACGCGCTGCTGCTGCATGTATATCTTCCGTACCCGTACGTACCGTGATTTTGTCCAATATGGCGGGGTTGGCACGGCCTGTGCGAATGGTGTTGAAGCCATCAGCCACCACGTTGAGGCACTTCTTCATCCGCTCGTCCTGCGCGCGGCAGTACGTCGCCAGCCAAGCGCTCGTCGGTTGTCGGGATGCCGATAGAAACCAGGCAGGAGAGGCAACGCATTAACCTACCGCGTCCTTCTTTGCGTCTGCTGAAATCTTTTGGACATCAACGCCGCCCGCGGCTGCCTTGCCGCCCTTCTCCTCCTTCACTGCAGTCTCTGCTTTGCCGCCCTTGCCACCCTTGCCGCCCTTGGCGAATGATATCACCAACGTACGACTAGTGGCATCTCTGTGTCAATACACGATATACTAGGTGGAGCGCGTGTGCAAAATGACCTTGCATCCTAGCCACCAACTGCTTCTGGTAACGCGCACCTTTGCTCAGTTGGAGCAAGCGTACGTCCAGCTGCGCGAGTAGTGCAAGGTCGAAACACAAGGGTCTTGGAAATTGGTGCAGCTTGCAAGCTGCAGACCTGAGGTGCGCGAACGATGGACATCCTTAAAATGGATGGAGGATGATATGAATCGTTCCGGCAAATGCCGCAGACGGTGGTGCCGCGAAATGAAAGGAGGAGGACGGGGAGGTCTTTTGATGTACGGCAGCTCTAGTATTCCCAGCTGTTTTGATCATCATGAAAACCAGCCACAACATATCAGAAAGTATGAAGTTCCTGCCGTTTTATGATTTAAAGGATTCAGGAAAACGTGGCCAACAGTACATTAGGTTGCCTAGGCCGAGGCTTAGCTTGAGCCCATATCCGATGGCTGCGTCGCAGGAAACTAACAAGTGCCCACGTTGAACGAGCACATGCGCGTGCTGGAAAGCTCTCCTCAGCAGTCCGACCTTGTTACTTCCGCAGGTTGCGCATTTGCCTCGGCCTCATGCTGCTTCATCCTCAACACACAGCCCAGCCAACCATAAAAAGAGCGGCAGAACTATGAAGCAAAGAATCGGGAGGAGGCCGAGGCCCAGGCAGTGAAGACGCGTAAGTGTGCAGGGGTGGTACGCACATGGCGACGCGATGACCCTTTCCCCTCCCCCACACCGCGCCCTGAACACGCTTTCATGGGGGGGGAGAATATGTCTTTGCATGCTGATTTGCGGCCGGAAACACGCGGCTTACGGCCCCGCTGTCGCGCCCTGTCGCTGTACAGAGCACGGGAAAAGCGCGTCATGGAGTCCAAGCTGCGTGCTGTGAAGACCTTAGGCGCTGCGGACGATGACGATGACGGTGACATGGCGTCCTGGGTTGAAAGGAACCGTCGTCTGGAGCAGCAGCGGAAGGAGGAGGCAAAACCGTCAGCGGCAGCAGCAGCAGCAACAGCAACAGCGAACAAGCGCCGTCATAGAGTAAGTTGTGCTGCTGTGAAGCGACCCTGCTTTCCAGAGCGTGTGTGTTTGAGAGAAGGGGTCGTGTAGTTTCTATGGACCGATGTGCCGCGTGTTTGCTACGTGTGCGTCTGGTGCGTGTCCTCAGTGTCTGTGTGCTTCTTGTGCGTCGGATCGTCTGTGTCATCTTCCTGCTACCTCTGGTCGGCGCCGCCTTTCCTTTCTTGTCGTCTCTTCCCCGCCTTGTTTCTCCACCTCTCCGCCTTTAGAAGGCCTTTAATCTCTTCTGGGAGTTGCAGCTTGCTGTTTCTCCCTTGTTCTCGTTTGCTCATTTGGTCCGTGTCGTTCCCTATATATGTATGTGTATATCTTTCAAGAACCACATCGTACCTGTCTGTATGAATGGGGAACTTGTAGCAGAATATCTCAAGATGGGATCTTCCCGGCCCACATCTGAAAACTCAACACTCCCGAAGTGAGCGGGTTTTACCCTCTTGGAGTGCCCGTAGTCGTCCGTTATTGTTGAGCTTACCAGTCCCAAGTCGCTCCCCAAAGGAATGTCGCAAGTCGCTCCACAAGCATGACGCCACGACATGAGCAGAATGAACCATCTCTCCCATTGTCCCGTGTCATCGTAACTGCAATCCTAGTTGTAGACATGGTCATTTTTACGTTTGCATGGTGCCTTCGTTACCTGATGCAAGGGTAACTGTGATACAACGGGTCGTGGAACCTTTTGGTTGAGGTTGGTTAGCTGATCCTCTTGTGTGTAGGGTTGGAGTTGTACGGAAACCTGCCCTCGCAATTGGCCACCTCCCTGCTGTGAGAGCTTCCGCGTCAGGTTTAGATTGACTGATTATTGGAGTCGTGCCGCCGTTGGGAAGCAATCAGCCTGACATCATATTTACGATGTTCAGTTGGATTTCCGCAGGTATGTGGGATCCTTACAGGAAGCTGTATCATATGGTAACTACTAGCTACATGCATGTAGATAGTTACACAACGACTACGTCCCCAGAGGGGTAACAAGCATTGCCGCCATGGTCGAGCTTGGTGAATGACAGCAAGCGCCAACTTCCGCCTATGTGAAGCACGTAGCTACCGTGAAGACTCAATGCATATACGCAAACGAACCCGAAGATATCACAATGTAAAGCATCTCTCTGCCAACCGCAGCTTCTATCCCCATGCCAGCTGCACCGGATCCACCAGTACCGTCCTCCGAAACCACTTCACTCAAAACTGCGATGCTCTCAGAAAATCTTGGTTTTCAATGCTCAGCTTCTAGAACGCTGCAGGTAACCCATACGCTTTATATTCCATCCACCGGTAGTTTTCACTACCACCTATCACACGGTTGTGATGTAAGCAAAGATACAGCACATGGTTTTACTTCTACCCACTGACTCTCACTGACCAGTCCCAATCTGGAGGAGTAGTCTCCAGACGGGTGGTCACCACCCCACGGTGCGGTCATTAGGTTAATTTACCCACAAGCAGCCAGCAGAGTGGTGGATCAGCTGATCCGGGCTGCTGACTAATTACTTTAACATCACAACTGATGAAAAGCTGGAAACCTGCAGAAAAAGCACACTCAGCATGAACCAGACCTTTTAGCTTGGACCAAGTATATTTCGTATGAATCAAACAATGGGAGGTAGAACGAACGCGGCGCGGAGGGCAATGGCTAAGAAATGAGCCGATGGTAGTTCGTAAGTGCAAATAATTACGCAGGATCTGAATCGCGAAATTTGCTAGACATCCTGATTTATTAATTGAAACTGTGGCACTATGCTGTTTCATGATGAGGAACGTGCAAATCGATTCCTCCTTGCTTGTATATATCTATAGGTTCCCTTTTTGCCAACAATAACCAAACCAACCAAACCAATATGACAAGGCATCCCTTTCCGTGCTTCTGGTATCCTTGGAGATATTGGAGTTGTTCTTTGATTGAGCCGCGAGGGTCAAGAACCTTAAAACTATTTACCTTTGTTGTAATACGTGCAATGACATTCCGCTCGCTGCTTTACTCCCAGCTGCTGTTTTTAAACTTTGGAGAAGTATAACGCATACCGGTGTCTAGCTTTGCATGCACCAGATCCGCCGCCGCCGCAGCAGCAACAGCAGCAGAGAGCAGCTCATCAACTCGCAGCATATAATAACGTTTGGCGAAAACAACTTTTTGTGAGTACAAAATTGACTGCGTCTGCTTTGCTGCTGCTGGTAGTTGGTGCTGCTGCTGCTGCTGCTGCTGCAGATTTACTGCTGAGCCCAGGGGTCTTTTTATTTCTTGCCCGGTGTCGCATGAATTTCATTCCCGAAGCATTTGCCATCGCCGGACATAAGACCTTACTTGTAATGTTTTGAAGTTCGTTAACGCGCGCTTCTGAGACCATGTCGTAACTTCGGAGCTAGTGGAGCTTGAACTTGTGTGTACGACGCGGACCAAATTATGAACATTGTAAGTCTAAGTTGAGATTGAAATCCCGATCCTCTGTGCGTACGCAAGTATATCGGCCAGTAAAGTCAGCTTAAGCTTCCCAGTTGTCAGGAGAGGCCTGGTTCCCTTACATTACTTCACTGTGCTGCTGTATGTGATGACTGGCACAATAGGGATTGTAATGTATGTAATAGGGATATGTATGTAATAGGGATAGTCATACAGCAGGTATCCTCAATTCGGCATGTGGACTACGTTGTACTCCATATTGCCTTCAAAGGGCCTTAAATTGCTTGACGATCCTTAACGAGCCTGAACGGGCCCGTCTGCCTGGAGGTCAAATAAAGGCGCCTGCACACAACCCGCAGAAATTCCTGCACGCCCATCGACGCACACGCGCGAGGAATACTTAATAAACTTTCTTTAGTATCTATAAGGAATTTGTACTCCGAATTTTTTTTATTGAATCAGGGTGCTGTAAACTCGGAAACTGGCAAGACTGCGTGCGAGCGTGGATGCCCGTCATGCGGATGTACGGCTTATGTAATACTAGTGTCGGTTCGATACCCTCGCTACAAAGTATAATATATATGCTTCGCAGTAAAGCAATGCAATTTCAATAAAGAGAGACCTATATATCATTTATTCTAATTGAAAAAATTAAATATACTTAATGATAATTGCGGAGCGAGCATTCCCGTGCCATTGTTCGTTCCTACCCGCCTCCCGGTACCTTCCCACCTACCTGTCCACCTTACTACCAACCAGCTGCAAGAAGAAGTCGGATCTTGCCCCGTTCTTACCCCACAGCCATGGTGGCCAGGTCTAGGGGCGGCCTGGCTTCCACATCATTGAGGTTGCTTTGTTTCATAGCGCTCTATGTGTCTCTATTAAGGAATAATGGCGCCAACGCTTCAGGGGCAGCCGCAGGGCGGCGCAGCCTGCTCGGCGGCCCTGCTGTCCGCAAGACTCTTCGGCTTTATCGGCCGCCAAGAGCCCCTCTAGGTCCAGGGGCCCCCGGTAGCCCGCCGACACCAACTGCACCGCCGCTGGGGGAGCGCTATCTGGAAGGTGCGCCCCTGGATGCATGGTTGTTGCATGGGGGTAGCTTCCACAACCACTTGGGGGCTTCCCAGCGCCAACCCAGGATGTGGAACCAAGCAAGGATAATCAAAAACAGGAGTGGGCTGTCAAATCCTCCGTAACGGACCACAAAGAATTTCCCTACCCGGCTTTGTTGACATTTTTTTAATACAACTACGTATACGTACGCTGCGATTGCCCTTACTTCTCTCTGTTTAATAAATACTAGCGCATCAGGTGTTTCGTGTTTCTTAGTGTTTTATAAAATAATTGTTATGATTTGCTATGCGTCCAGGTGAACGGTGGATTAATAACCATGCGATATGCATGAATTGCTTGCTGCCCCATCCTGTCCTGTCCTGCATGCTGCAGTCGATATCGCAATAACCGCTAGTTATCCACAAACACATACAAATGAAATGATCGCACGCACGGTTTTTAGCCGTCTAACCGCGTCCCCCGCCCTGCTGCCGGGCAGCAGCCGCGCACATGCGTGCCAAGGTAGTGTACCGTATACGCGCACATGTGTATGCTTTGAACTCTGCCCATTTATGTATGTATGTATGTATGTATGTATGTATGTATGTATGTATGTATGTATGTATGTATGTATGTATGTATGTATGTATGTATGTATGTATGTATATGCATGTATGTATATGCATGTATGTATATGCATGTCATGGTATGCAGGCGAGCTTGATGTGTTTGTAATGGAGGATGACTCCACAATCAGTTACCTGAGACAAAACATTGGTCAGGATGGTTTCAACGTCACGGGTGTGTTGTTAGCTGAAGCGGAGGCGCTGAAGTACGCAGGCCAGCGTGTCCGCCTCGCCATCCGCCAGGAGTACGAGCACGACTATGATGCCGCGGAGGAGGAGGAGGAAGCGGCGACGGATGCCAGCCAGCAACAGTCCGCCCGCCGCCGCCGAACGCAATCCACAGCCGTCCCTGCGAAGGTGGTCGAAAGCTTTGGATTCGCGGACAAGGATGCGGGGAAGGAGGCCATTCCAGGCCGCGCGAACGTCACAATCTCCAGCGTTATCTTTTTGATAAGCTACTGCGGATACCGGAACTATCACACCGTCGAGTCCTTCCGGAAAATGTGGCTGAACGAGCCGAGCACCACGACAGACGCCATGACGATGCAGAACTACATCAGCTACTGCTCTCAGGGCGCCGCGCGCATGACGAACAGCTCCCAACGTATCTTCGCGGTTGATGTGAGCTATGCTGCGTCATACGTTTATATGTAGTACATGTACGGCTGGGTATAACCAGCTGCTGCCGCAACAACATCACGCAAATGCGCCACCGCTGCATATGTGCATGGCTGTGTGTCCACACACACACACACATACGCACGCGCATGTACCTGCAGCCTTTTTCAACCAATGTGTTTTGCCTTGCCTTGTGCCTTGCCTTGTGCCTTGCCCTGCCCGGTACCCGCGGCGGTGAACACCGATGATGCAGTTACCGTGCACGGGTGGGTCGGGCAAGAATGCGTTCAACTTCAATACATCATGCGAGGACCCGGTGAGTTCGTGTTTGTGCAGCATGCAGCCTCTGCTGCTGCTGCTGCTGCTGCATGTCCAGATATGTAACGTAGGTAAATAGGTAGGTAGGTAAGGTAGGTGGGTAGGTAGGTAGGCAGGCTAGGTTCCTGCCTTGCTTGCAGCTAGTCTATCTGTTTACAACTCCTGCAGCAGGCCGGCACGCGGCTGTGCAAACACGCGCATGCGTTCCTTTTCCACACAGTCGTTCACAATAAAAAAAAGTATTGTCTGGATGGATGGCCTCCCGGGGTTGCTCTCTCTCTCTCTAACGCGCAGGAGCTATACGGGATGATGAGCATGGCGGACAGCATTGTGAGGAACACGTATGGAGCTAGCATTAGCTATGTCAAGCAACGAATCGCCGTGCTCCCGGATTATGCGCACACGACATGCAGATGGGGTGGTACGTTGGTGGCGGGGGCAAAGAGTGGGGGGCTGCTGTCGGACGGGCCGCCGCAGGCGCACAAGCTGGAGCTGCTAAACGCTTATCTCGTTCGGGACCTGAGCTGCTTGCACTTGTATGCGGGCTTACATGCGCACATCCGATGTATTGGATTTGTCTGCAGTGTGTGATACAACCCTCATCATTCGTGCGTTATATCTGCTATTATGCATCATCAGTAGTGGGTTCCCTTAGCACTTACATACGATATTGCTTCCACGGTAAAGGTCCGACATTTCCATATCGTCAGATTTTATACCATAGCACTTACATACGATATTGCTTCCACGGTAAAGGTCCGACATTTCCATATCGTCAGATTTTATACCATAGCACTTACATACGATATTGCTTCCACGGTAAAGGTCCGACATTTCCATATCGTCAGATTTTATATAATATATACATGTATGTAGTAAGACAGTCGGCCCAGATAGATACATTCTGAAATTACTTATGTTGTCCAAAGCTCCACCATCTATCAGACTTGTACTGCTATTGCTACTGGCACCCTAGCCCCGGACACCAGCTGCGGGGCAGCAGTTGCCGCCGCCTGCTGCTGATGCTATGCATTCAGGCACATATATAGTGACGTAATCCTTGCGTGTCCAGCCAATTTTGGATAGTATCCCAGATAGGCAGCAGCCAAGCGATCTCCACAAGTAATGTATCACTACCGCCGAAAGGATCGTCTGTCCAGCGAGCACAAGGCAGCTGCTGCAGTGAACTTCCCCTATCGACTTGGGTCGCGGCGTCTACGTCACCATATCTTTGAAAACAAAATAAAACAAACCACTCACCGCATTTCATTATTCCCGTATTATCGTATTGTACTAGTACGCGTGCCTTCACATGTATGCACTCACGCATTGTTCACACACATATGTGTAAATGTATGTATGTTTTTATGTACGCAGGCTTGGCCCAAGTGGGCTGTAGCGGAGATCGTTGCTACACCTGGATCAACGCCGCCGCGAGCCCCCGGGTCTTTCTTCACGAAATGTTGCATAATTTCGGGCTCCACCACGCGGGCCGTTTGGGTGACCCCTGGGAGTACGCCGACTACTCTTGCGTGATGGGAATGTGAGTGACGGGAAATGAAATAAAGCAAAGTACATACAGTATATACAGTACGGGTGCCGGGGAACTGCAAAGCGGACGTTCGTCCATCACATATACACGTAGCTACGTCCTCTGCTGGGCTCCAGCTCTAGGGCGTCTTTGCTCATCGTCTGGAGCGAACATGTATCATACAGCAGCCCGGGAGTGTAATGTGTGGCGCGTGGTTTCCCCGGCCCCCCCCCGGGTGCTTTAGACACGCAACCGACTGACCAAGTAGGGTCGCCAGTAGGGGATTATGTATCGTCGATATAAAGAAAAAAGACCGGCGCCGTCCTACAGATGGTGAAAAAAACGTATCCGATGACGGAGCGCGCCATGCATGCGTCACGTGCACACGTGCACACATGCTCTTCTGCAGCCGTTCCTGAATGCAATCCTGAACTCGTATGAAAGTGACGACCATCTACTGCGACTGCTGCTTCTAACGGAGGTAGGCAAGACACCCAGATAAGTCCTCCGTCAGTCTCCGTATGTATGTATGTATGTATGTATGTATGTATGTATGTATGTATGTATGTATGTATGTATGTATGTATGTATGTATGTATGTATGTATGTATGTATGTATGTATGTATGTATGTATGTATGTATGTATGTATGTATGTATGTATGTATGTATGTATGTATGACGTTGATTACACTGTGGGCTGAAAAGCTGGGGGCCCAGGGCCGAAACACAGCGCGGGGGGCGGGTGCATACGGCTGGTTAGTCTCATGCACTCCGCCCCCGGGTCAGGCCGCACGGGAAGCGACGGCCGGCACGCAACAGCGCTTGTTTGGCGCTCCAACTAGACGGGATCTATGCCCGTTGGTCTCCTAACATAAACGAAGTCGCAACTGGGGGGCTCTTCCTGCCGACCGAACGAACCGAGCATCTCAGAGAGCTCGCAACCAGGACCTGGGCGACCGGGAGCCCGACGAGTCATCCCGGGCTGGGGAGGTCACCAAGCTCAAAAATCCTCATGCAAAAAAAGAGCGCAAAGAGCTCACACCACAAGACGCCAAACAGCCTCCTGAGACTACTACCCTCCTCCGCCTCTCCCTCCCTGGGCTAGTCCAGGGGAGATAGCCCCTATATGTATATATATATATATATATGTATATATATATGTATGTATGTATGTATGTATGTATGTCGTTACAGGGTGGTAAATGCATGTAAATGCATGTATGTATGACGTTGATTACACTGTGGGCTGAAAAGCCGGGGGCCCAGGGCCGAAACACAGCGCGGGGGGCGGGTGCATACGGCTGGTTAGTCTCATGCACTCCGCCCCCGGGTCAGGCCGCACGGGAAGCGACGGCCGGCACGCAACAGCGCTCGTTTGGCGCTAGACGGGACTAGACGGGATCTAGACGGGATCTATGCCCGCTGGTCTCCTAACATAAACGAAGTCGCAACTGGGGGGCTCTTCCTGCAGTCCGAACGAACCGAGCATCTCAGAGAGCTCACAACCAGGACCTGGGCGACCGGGAGCCCGACGAGTCATCCCGGGCTGGGGAGGTCACCAAGCTCAAAAATCCTCACGCAAAAAAGAGCGCAAAGAGCTCACACCACAAGACGCCAAACAGCCTCCTGAGACTACTACCCTCCTCCGCCTCTCCCTCCCTGGGCTAGTCCAGGGGAGATAGCAGCCGTCGGGGGGATAACACCGCACAAGTCCGCGCCCTTCCACAGCACTTGGTCTAATTTGAAAAGTACTCAAACGGGGGGACCCTGCGTATGTATGTATGTATGACTTAGATTACACTGTGGGCCGCGAGAGCCGGGGGCCGAAGCCGAAACACAGCGCAAGGGTCGGGAGCACACAGCACAAGTCGGTTAGTCTTGTGTGCTCCCGACCCCGACTCAGACTGCCAACACTCTACGCAGCCACTCCGCAGCCCCTCCATCCGGGGATGGCGCTGCATTGTATGTATGTATGTTTGCACATGTCCGATGATCCGTACATGCATATCTCTGTATGCAGTGGGGACACCTGCCCGAACGCCGCGCAGCTATGGCGCCTGAGCTGGGCTTTGCCCCTCCCGGGAGGCGACCTCAACGGCACCACGCTGCAAGTGGGCAGAAGAATCACGTTCACGCTCCCCGTGCAAAACAAGGCCCCTCAATCGTATGTTCGTATCTACGCAAGCTGGATGTGGGATCCGCCCCCCTACACCGTCTGGTGGAGCCCTGATGCTTACCCCGCACATGCCCTTCTCGTCTCGTTTCGCTCAAAAGAAGAGCCTTTCGAATTGTTTGACAACGATAAAAACAACCAGGTTTTAATTCACTCATTCAATGGGACACAGGTGCGCGCGCTTGCTTTATTATTACTTGCTTACGTGTGATGCCGCCGTATGTACGTTGTTTTCCTATTCAAAACGAGATATTAGTAAAGGAATGAGAATGCGGCTAAGGAGTAAAAGGGTTGGTACCTTGGGCATTTGCCGGGGACGTCCGCCCCCAAACCAGCTGGTGTATCCACACAAGGCAAAATCAGACGCACACAGGCCCCAGCAGATAGACACAAATAGGGCACAACATACCACAACATATCACACCACAACGGAAGACTCCACCAAAGAGAGCATGGGGTTAGTACGGCGGGGCGTACGCGTGTACCTAGCGTTCGTACGTAGCTGCTGGGCCCACCCATCTCGCCACCGATCTAATAAACGTATATCTCTGCTGAAATAAATCTCTCGTTACACGTGCAACATGCATTTTTGAAGTATCCACCTATGCGCATGTGATTCAGAGCACGAAGCAGCAGCAGCGGCAGCAGCAACAGCGGATTGATCTTTCCACAAAAAAACTGAACGCCGGCACGCACATGTATTTCGAGTTGTCACAGGCATGTACGTCTGCCGTCGTATATTCGTTCGTTCGCCCGCAGTACGCTGGCTCCGCCCAGAAGACTCTTCTACGTTCTGCGCTAAACAAGCCCAACCAGGAGTTTCGGGATGACTCATTTTCTGGCCTAGTCTTCAAAGTTCTCTCCATCTCCCCAGGCCTAAGTGCAGTTGTCAGCATCTGCCGCTCTGGGGGGCCCCAGGAGGCACAGGGTGGCAATTCGTGCGGTGACGGCCTGGATAACGACTGCGATGGGCTAACGGTGGGTGTTAGTTAGTTCGGTTTGTTGTATGTTTGGCTGTATGTTAAACCAGATTGAATGGTCGTTGAACAGTTAGTTGCCCAGACATACATATACACGCGCACGCTTGGTGTCATGCAGCCATGCAAGATGCCACCACTCATGCCGACCGACAACGGATGTGTCTTCGCATCCGGCGCACCATACGGATTTAGATAGCCTAAGGCGGCATTGAGGATCAAACACGTGACGTATCAATCGCAGCTCAGGTTAATCAATCTTCCGTACCTATCGGATCACCAGGTTAGATACTCTCAAGTCATCGTGTGCGTGTGTGTGCGTGTGTGTGTGTGCGCTTGTGTGTGCGCGTGTGTATGTGCACGTGTGCGTGTGTGTCTGTGTGTGTGCGCGCGCGCGCGTGTGTGTGTGCGTGTGTACGTGTGTGTGCGTGTGTGTGTGTGTGTGTGCGTGTGTACGTGTGTGTGTGTGTGTGTGTGTGTGTGTGTGTGTGTGCGTGTGTACGTGTGTGTGCGTGTGTGTGTGTATGCATCGCCCGGTGCGTGGTGACGGCCGCGGGGAACACATACATGCATACATACGAATCCAGCCGGATAACGGATCCAGTCCTCCGCCTTTTAACCGTTTTCCTCTCCATCAATAATACTTCATCTGTAGTACTTGAATGAGCTTGGCGACAAGAGAATTCCAAGACGTCGTCGTAGCAGAGGGATAACCATGCAGGTACACGTGTGCTGGTGTGCTGGTGTGCCTACGTGTGCTGGTGTGCCTACGTGTGCTGGTGTGCCTATGTACGTATGCATGTTGCGCAGGATTATGCCGACCCAGATTGCAATGGCGTGTTGCCGTCTCCGTCACCGCCGCCAGTCCCCCCTCCACCGCCGTCGCCAAGTCCAATGCCACCGCCAAGGCCGCCACCGTCGCCGC